GAAAATTCCTGTCAATAATAAAAAGCAACAATGTTTGTTTCATAAAATGTTAAGACATTTAAAAAATGGAATTGAATTAATCACAGATTAAGTTAGTTGATGGTATCAGTTTTCATGCCACAACAAACTTCCCCCTTCCTCCAAATAGGCACAAAACGGGGGTGGAAAAAGTTTAATGAGCAACTTGGAAAAAGGAGACATAAAAAAATCAAACTGAATTAGTGTCCTGGAAAAACAGATGCGGAAACATACTGCTTGTGAAACTCTCCTTGCAAGTCCCTTCATTTCATTTAGAAATGATCCCAACTTTCTGTGCAACTGAAAGACCTGGCCTAGAAAAACAAAGTTATGTAAAAAATAAACCTCATGTCCAGTTGCCTAGACTGAACTTTTTCAAGATTCACCATGACCTGGATGACTGAGAATCTTCACAGGTGTGAATAAATCTGAATTTTCAAAGTGCTTATAGAAAATGGATAGTTCACCTTACATTTGAGACATTTACTTCTAAAGCGTAGTCAGTCCCTAATTTAACTCTGTCTGCATTGTTTTTATGTGTTACAATGACCCAGGTTTCTTGTATAATAATCCAAGTATCTATCTGCTCCAAAATCTTTATCAGTATGATGTCAGGGAAATCATCTTAAAGGCTTTGTGTTTATAATAGTAAACTTAAAAGCAAAGCTAAATGTAAGCATCAAGGTCAGCATTACACAAGATTAATCCAAAACAACTATAATCCTTTCAGTAATTATCTGTGTTGATGTCTTTGTCTGATGTTATAATTACTTTCCTCTGCTACATTTCACATGGAGCCTTCATTTCTGAAGATCTACTGTTTTGCATTTTTCTTTCAAAAATCTACTTATTATTTTTACTATTTTCACCTAAATCAACTCAGCGTAGGTTGTACCTTGGCTTAGGTACAGTATTGTTAAATGTTTTAAAATCTAACAAGATTTTTTTTCATACCTCTTCACTCAATTTCATAAATGCAAACAATAAGTGTTGCAACAAAGAGAAGCTTAACCTAAATTGCTGATATAGGTATCCTATTTCATTGTGCTTTCATAGATTATGGTTTCTGAAGTGTAGCTACAGTTGCAGCAAAAACGGAAAGACCTTTGTGCAGATACATACTTCAAGGTAAATGCTATTATGTGAGAACTTTAAAATAAATATTTTTTCCCTTCTCTTGGCTGGTAAATACAGAGTATTTATGCAACCTGTTACTTTTCATGTTCTTTTCTGTGTGGGTTGGCACACACCCTGTGTACTGTCAAACAGTACAGTGGCTAAATGTAGCCCTTTATATAGACCCACAATCTGGTTACAAGATTGTAGATACCTGGGATTTCTGTGTAAATTCTTAGTCATCCTGGCCATAACAACCACAAAACAGTCCCGTTGCATCTGATTTAGGGCTGTTTTATGGATACTTGTCATGCAAATTACTGGTCACACCTTGATTTCTCTTGTCCCTCTGGTCACATTGTTTTCATTCTTATTGAGGCTTACCATAAGGTTTTCCAAGCCTGTTTGATGAGTTTATTTCTTTCATAGTATCAATGTATGCATCTTTTTATGTTTCATGTGGCAAGATTCCATTTTTTTTCCTAAAAGTATAATGGAGGATTTTTGTAAAATTTTTGAAAAGACCCGCCCTCTATCCTTTAAAAAAATGCACTTGCACAACCTTTACCTGCCCCTGAGAGGGAATGTTCGAGAGCATGCACAAGCCCATTTCTCCTTGTGCACACTCTGTTTACAAGTTACTGTTTGCATCACTCATACAAGCTTACTTTCCAAAAGAAGATTTGCAATTTTTCCATTATGCCAGACTCGCCACCAGTAAAGCCGAACATACACTGTACGATTTCTTGCGCTTTTAGGACCGCTTCTCCATGCGATCGGGCATAGGTTCAGCTTCATTGTGCATCGAGTTGTATACAGGGAGTAACGAAGGGTGAGTTTGAAATTCAATCAGCTGTCGCAAGATCACATCAGAGCGTCGGGCCGCACAGTGTGAGAATATTCATCATGAGCTGTGAACTTTTAAACCCTGCAGTTTCATTGTACAGCTTAAGCTGTAGCTGTGTGCAGCAATTAAAAATATTGCACAGTGTATGCCCGGCTTAAGTGAAAATGGGGATGAGTACGTGGTCTTACGTAAACATATCACCAGAATAATTGACAATTAGGAGGATCATATATTTCAATGATCCACCCAGACAAAAAAAACATCCTCTATTACACCTTAAACAGAACTGATTTATGAATAAAATCTGGGATAGAACCGTTTTTGGGTGTATAGTGCGCTTTCCCACTTGGTTGGTTCCAAGGATATCAAGAGGGATTGTTTATACCAACAAGTACTGTATGTTAAACCCAGCATGTGTACCTGTGAAAGAAAAGCTTGTAGTTAAAACTCTGAGCTAAAACCTTAAAGGAGAAGTTCGGTCTT